GATGCGAAAAGCACAAAACTATGATTGATGGAAATAGCTGAGGATCCGAACAATGAGCTGTATCTGCCTCAAATATCCACGCAAACAGAGTTCGATTCGTTAAAAAAAAAAGTATACTTATACACTAACCGACTAATCTCTGGAGCGGATGATCATGTGGTTCCATACTTATCATAAACATTGTCTTATTTGATACAATTGCATTTCGCAGGAAATCCACGTAACCATCCAGATTGATGTGCATCGTGAAAAAATTACCTCGTCGAGTTGGCTCAAGCGCAAGCTGCAAAAACTCTTCGTCCTTCATGCAAACAAACAACAACAATGTTTATTCACTGACACTATTTCGGAGCAAACGTTGCTTCCGCACCTTGTTTTAGCCTGGAAGGCAACGTTCGGGGGGAAGTAACGATGCTCAGCACATAACACGGGGTCCTTTCCTATGCAGTTTTGCAGGTAGACACACATATCTGACAGCTATATATGCTTGTAAATGTAACCGTATATATATATATATATTAGTTATGTTTGTAACTGAGCATAATAACTCTCGCCGTTCCGAACTCCTTCGAGTTTCCCTACTGCCCCTCATAACGCACAATTCTTTTCTCGTTTTCATAAATGCTTACTCTCAGTTCAACTCAATCCATTCCCATATGATTACTGTTAGTTATTATTAGTGAATATGCTAGTATATCTATGTATTAAGCCATACAAATGGACGTATTACTGTACTAGTATGGTATAGTATTCATAGCTGTGCTAACAGATGTACATTAAACTATGCTGATTACTATGCCAGTAGACATATACCACTTATAATTATGTCAACAGATATATATTCCACATGTGTAACTACACATGAGCATGAGTGCAGGCATCTGCATTAAAAATATATCAAAAGTTGTCGTAAAGAGACGCCCCGTATTTGCTCTCTAAAAGAAGAAGCGGAAGCACCCGGAAGTATTTCTGTGATGGTAAGCAATCACAGCCCGAGAAAAAGACTGTCGATGGCTGCCTCGTTCGAATGTTTCTTACAAGCAAGCTGATAACAGATCTGTGAGCACCGGAGCCTGACACTCAGAGTGAAGAGAGCAGAAATGACTAACAGCGCCTTCCATTAGATCTGTTCGATCACTAAATTTGATTGCATAAACGTTGACAATATCATTCTCATTGGTCGACAGAAATGACTCATGGTTAGCTGCATATGAACGGTGAAACCTCCCTTCGAATAATTTCTCTGAAAATTAACAACGCTAAGCGCGAAACCCAATAAAAACTGGAACCTCATCCCACTGCTTGCACAAAGCAAAGGCGCTCGGATATAGTATCACACTGCTAAATGGCAATTATCTGCTGGCAAACGCTCTTTCCTTGTGCATTCGTTTAAAAAAACGCAAATATGCGTAAAACTTCGCCTCGCGATCAATACCACATTAGTCTAAAAAAAGCCAA